GGATGTTAAATCCAACCCAAATGGATTCAAACAAAAGGTTCTAAGTGGGTTTTTCCCTTCTTCCCCTGCTGATTAGAGATGGTTGTTAGGCAGCTTTGGTATTCGTGGTGACCCGGCTCTCTCGGGGGGTCGCAGGGGTCCTGAAAGGGACCGAAGGCGCCTGCTGTCACGGCCGATTACCGCGCACCGCCGTGACGGGCATCAACCAGCCTGTAACCTCCGATCTGAGGCGATGTCCTCACGCTCTGCGTTTAGATCATCGTCCCCGAATCCCTCCTGGTTCTGTCCATCAGGGCGCCTCGTCTGCTCTGACCCGATCCGAAAGGCTGCCAGAACGTATTGCATTGTGTGTTGGCTGCACACAGGAACAGGGCCAGGCTTTAGAAAGCAGTGGCCCAGGGCGCCTTGGGGGGCCTCAAGGTTTGTCTTCTTCACCGCCAAAACACGAAAAATCTTAATATGGATGAAAAAGTTCCATTAGCAGATTATTTCACTTCCAACATGTGCAAAATATCTTGTTTTAAGTGAAGTACTAGAGTTGCTAGGTAATGGCGCAGCGCTCTGAGGTCGTAATTAAGGAATTATTTACATATAATAACCTCCGATATGTTGCTGAAAGGTCATTTCTAAGTTACTTTTGTCTTATTTCACGTCTACTAGAAAGTAAATGAAAGTACTTGGTAAGATTTAGTTTTGTTTGCGTTTTCTTTAATGATTGCAGGTTTTGTAAACATTACACTTTATAGAAAACTCATCAGTACAAATTGTGTTATCCCACAATTGGGTTTGGATTTTTATGCATGTTGAAGTATGCATAAAGTATTTGAAAATTATGAAGGAATAGTCAATTTCTTTGGAAACAACCTGGAGTTATTAAACTGCATCAGTTCTTACCTGCCATTGTATAGTTTTTACCTACTAATTTATTGTAATTTGTGTTAATAGAACTAATTTTTCCTGAGTGGATGGGGGGCCAAAAGTGTCTCAACCCCAGACACTGTAAATCTGCTCCTGCACAGGAAACATGGCAGCTTGGTTTTATTAGTTTAATATGAATTTCTTCTATAATGTGAGGAAATGGTGTCAATTTTCCAATTTGGATTTTTCTATTTTATGGTACAAAACACCGGGAAGCGTTTTAGGAAGCCTCTATCCCAAAACAATTGACTGCCTTGTTAAAATGGCTGATTTTCTGCCGTCTTGATTTGACAAACAGCAGAAAATGAAACTGAACTCCGAGGAGGTTGATGTGTCCAGGATTTTAAACACATTCTGTTGTTTTTTTGGGTTTATCTCTGATGGTTTTCACTTTCTCTTCACTCTTCACAGATGTTTGCTAGGATCTGCTTAGGACCAATCTCTCTCTTTCTGTCAGAGTAGCCATTTTATTAGCATGGGTAGCAGGTGCTAGCGTTAGCATCAACTGTAAACCAGACAAAATGTTCATATCTTGTCAGTGTTTATTTTCTAAAAACCCTCACAATGAAGCTGTTCATTTAAAATAGGTGGAAGTTTCTCAGTTCTCTAAACATGAAAGTTGTGTTAATGTTGAGAATAAGCTGGTTATATTTTTTAAAACCATCTTTTTCTCTTGCAGCCGCTACTATTACAATTTCTGCTCAGATTGCCCATGAATTTAACAATCATAAAGGAAGTTTTAGATTAAAATTTAGAATAAATCAGTGGCATGATAAGATGATTTCTTTTATCACAGAAATAGTGAACTAAATAAATTTTTGGGTTAAATATGATGGATTATAGTTGCAGATTCTAGAAATAGTTTGACACTCAACTCACTCACTCTTTGCTTACCAAGCAACAACATGTTGAGTAACTGGCGCAGCAGCAGTTTAAGGTTTCTTCACAACTGCTTAAAAAAAACAGCGTGGAGTGAAAACTGTGGATGAAACAGGAAATGTTATGTGTCCAATTTGGGAATATTTGAGATATTTAAAACAAAAAAACTAATCAATAATTGTTTATTTATGCATATGAATACTTATATTGTGATACTATTTTTTAAAATCAGTTTTTTTTCTAATATTCACTGTAAAATTATTAAATATTGTAAGACATAGCAGCTATTGATCAAATATATGGAAGAAAACACAAAATAACTCAGTCAGAATGTCTTAAAATCAATCATGGTGGATCATGGTGTGAATAAAATGTTTTATTTTTTCTGCCCTCTTCCTGGAGTTTTACCTAAATCCATTTCGGAGGTGCTGGGATTAGTCGGTTCCAGCTCTCCTGTCCAGCTTGGCCCCGTCTGACTGGACCGAGGAGGGCCAAGTCATTCAGCCAGCCTGAGCCGATTCAACAATCACATTCTGTTTAAATCCAAGTCAGGCCCGCCGAGACTGCAGCCCTGGCACCGACCCCGCCGTGTTTTTATCCCAAATTCAAAAGGGAAAACCGGAATTTAAAGTTGAAAATGTTGCTGATTTTTCCGCAGAATCAGAAGCTTCTGTCTAGTGGGAAATGTTTTCCTTCCCGCCACGTGAACTCTGACCCCTTCCCAACGCTTCTCTGCCGTTAAGATGTTCAGGGCGTCTCTGCCGGATTGTCGTGTGTTTAGCTAACAGGTTTATGAAGGAAAACACACAAACACGCAGAGGAAGAGCGGGGGGTGGGATCCTGTAAGCAGCTTTGTCCGTAATGTGCTTCAGGTCAGCGAGACGAGGAGCCCGGTCCTCGTTAGCATGCGCTGCGCATCCGCTAACATCGCCATCTTACTGAGGCAGGAGGATTCAGATCAAGATGATTGGTAGCAGCAGGGAGGGAGAAAAGGAGAAACTGAATTCCCAGCCACGATGGATCGAGGTGGGATCCGAAAGATCTGATGGGCAGATAGGAAGGGAAGAGAGGAAGCAAAGCGGAGGAGAGGAGTGGGTGGGGCGGCGGCGGCGCGGCGGTGGATGTGAATGCGGGCCACTGAGCGCTGGCGGGAGGCCAGGCCTCTAAGCTCTGGCAGCTCGTTAGCCTCTGTGTTACTGACCTGATAGACCACAAGCCCTGCTGCCCCCACAACCCACTCATGATCTAATATGGACGCACTTCCATCAACTCACCTCTAGGGGCAGCAAAGGAGCAGAAAGGTGGAGCTTTTGCACATTTTCCCCAAAGTGACACCTCTTGTCACTCAGAAACCATCCTGATTCCTTCTGTCCACTTCCTCCATAATCAATTAATTAATCAATAAAAATAAAAATCTGTTTGCATGATTTATTGTTTTTCTCTTTTCTCTCTTTTCTTCTACCAAAAACTTGATGATGATCATAAATCATCATCATTAATTTTATTTGTTGATTTGTTTTTTTATTTTGGATATTTAAATTGAGTTCCAAATCCTTACATTTTTTAAAGGGCAAATTTCACTAATTTTTTTGTTTATGAATTTCATGCTTTAGTTTGTGTGCTGCTTTTATTTCCATTTTAATTGTTTTTGGTCATTTGGTTCTTTTTTCTGTCAGCATTTTGTCAGTTGAGGCTACAGCTAATAGCTGCTAGTTAGCGGTAGCTTCTGTTAGCTCATTATTAGCATCTATGCTCTACGTGTTTAACCATTAGCGACCCAAATAATTGTAAGCCAGAAAACCTTTGAGATGGATAAATTCAACCACAACACAGAAAAAAAACCCAGATTTTTTCTGTGTTGTTGCTGGAAAGCTAATAAAATCTCGTTAGCTTCGATGTTGCTGCCGTTCTTGTCCGTTTCTGCTCTCTTTGTCTCATCATCCCGCCTCGGTCTCCTTTAAACCCACTAACTGAGTCTGCTGTTCAGATCTGAGCAATCTTAGGCTTTTCAAATAAAAAAACGTCTTCTTTAATAAGCGTCCACCGCTCTCCTGGGTGTCGTTAGCGCTAATGCACAATAAAGCACTGAATCCGCCCGCAGCCTGCCAACATGTCTGCTGTCATCGCCGCCCTCTCTCCTCCACAGCCTCCTTCATAAGGCCCATCAGCGCAGTTAGACATATTACAGTCACAATTACTCAGGCTAATTGACTTCAGGGGATGTGAAATATTCCACCGGAGAGAAGCGGCCGAGGTGATGAACAGGCAAACTGTGATTTTATTAAAGGGGAGTGACTCATATCCTTCCTTGGAGGAAGGCTCTGTTTCCCCTCACATGTTTCTCCACATAGACAACTCAAATTTTATCGTTTGCATCCAGAAATTTTGCACATGTGCACAACGCTGGCGGCTGATAAAACAAACTGTTCTGTTAGCAGAATAAAACCTGGAGATCTTAAATTTTCTTTCCTTCTCGCTCTCAGACACGTTGCCAACTTACTGACAACAGCTACACGGCGGTGGCTAGTTAGCTAATTTCAACACCTGTTCTACTGATGATCTGTCAGGGTTTGGCCTACGAGTCGGCTTTTTAAATTTTTTCTGACTGAATCGAAACTCACAGAATTCCACAGCACATCCACATGGTAAATTTATCAAAGTCAAGCTAGCATAACAAGCTGACCTACTTCCTTCTCCATCACTGTTTTTTCCTCTTAATTAAAATCTTTTACTGATCTTCTCTAGTTTCTCTAGTGTTTTTGTAGCGTCCATTTTTCTTCTATATCTTTAGCGCCTTATATTGACACCCTGACAGCTAACACCAATGCTAGTCACTGTTGGCAAGCAGCTTTTTGCGGGATACCGCACGCGTAATTTCACTTTGCAGGGTGTTGCCAGATTGGACGGTTTTCCTCCCAATTTGACTTATTTTGAACATGTTGGGCTAGAAAGACACAATGTAGAGCCACAAAAAACCCACAAAATCTGAGTTCAAAGAGTTAAGACCTTAGCTGGCACAGTGGGATCTGGAAAGTAATAAATTACAACCAAAAACGTTCTGCTTTGTCACAAAAAGCAGTCGATGACATTTACAGTTGTTTTTGGAGTTGCTTTGCTTTGTGTTTGGGCTGGAAACTATCAGTCAGACCTGGCAACCCTTCTGTCCATTCTGACCGCGACCTTCTCTCCGTTTCCTCCTGCAGCTACATCCAACGGCACCATGGAGGGCATCGACAACCAGGAAGGGGGCGTGTGCAAGACCAAGTCCATGAAGATAGTCATGAAAGTGGGGCAGAGTGAGTATCGCAGCATCTGCAGGCGATGTGCAGCTCACCGAATAAGGTCAGAGGAGGCGGCGCCGTTGTCTCCATGACACCTGGGGCTGTAATCCAGCCAACCCGACACATACACAAACACACGCTTTCAGCTGCACTCCCTGGATCACATATGCTAATCTAGTTTACATGCATAATTCCCATGATTCATAGCCCAGCAGATGTTTGTGCACCCCGAGAGCATCGCGTCAGGAGCGAGAGCAGCGCCGGTTCTCCTGATCCAGACGGTTCCACCAGAACCAGCTCAGGTTCAGGATGAATCCAATCTGAGAAATTAGGCTGAAATCTGGGGATTTATTGGCATTTTTAATCTCATTAACACAAGAAGCCACGCTGTTATTGTTTGAAAATGCTGCTCCACCTTAAAACCACCGGCTGAAAGTTGTGTGCCACCTTAAAAAATTGTGATGAATATGACTTAATTGATACGAATTGATAGCCAACAGTCAATACTGCTGCATTTCCTGATGTGCCTTTGTAGATAATAGATGCTTGATTTGTCCCCATGAAGGAATTGATTGATTGATTAATTGATTGATTGCCTGCTAATCCGTGTCCATGTTCTTTCAGATCCTTATGACCCCGTTTCACCCAAAGACATTCCCACCAGAACGCCCTACAAGCCCGGGTCGCCGGACGACGACCGGGAGAAAAACGAAGTCCAGCTGACACGAGGTCAGCCCCACTGAGATTCTAATTTATAGGAATAAACTCAAAAATAAAATGCATTTTTTCCACAACCGTGTCTTAAAAATTCAAGAAAAAGTTGCTCTATTGAGAAAGAACTTGAATTCTTCTTTTTGTGTTTTTTTTTCTTGTGATTTCTGAGTTTCAAGTTGAAATTTTTGCCCTTTCAAACTCAAAAATATTTGATTTTTTTTCCATAAAATTTTGGAGATTTTTTTTCTAGCAAATCTTTTTTGACTTTTGAAAGTTTTTCCTAGAAAATTTCTGACATAAATTTCAAATTTTCTGAGAGTTTCGTAGTAAAGTTTTGACTTTTCAAACTAAGAAATGTAGTTTTTTTTTCCAGAAATTTTCTGAGAGTAATTTTAAAAATATTTGAGTTTTTTTACAGCTAATTTTTGACTTTTCAAACTGAGAAATTTTTTTCTAGAAAATTTTTGAGTTCAATCTCAAAATTTCCGTTTTATTTCTTGGTGGAAATTTGATCCTTTTTCCCTTAAGTGGCCCTAAAACGCCGTCGTTCTAGAGTTCAGGTTAAGGAGCTGCACAGAATCAGTGGTGCGTGTGTGTGTGTGAGTGTGTGTGAGTGTGTGGGTAACAGAAAGGTCAGCGAATCATCAGCCGGTAATTGAATGTTGCCTATAAAACCGATAAGCATCTCTGGTCCTTCTAAGGTGTCTCCTGGCCGCTCACCTTTCAGCTTTAGGGTGACATTTTCAGGAAAACGATCCGGTCGCCGTCTGCCGTCTTCGGCGCACAGAAACGGGCTTGTTTCGGGTCGAGCGGCTTCGTTTGCGCGCCTCCTATCTCTGCTATTGGATTGCAGCTCAAAAATCTCTGTGTAAGAAAATCAGGAGCAGTAATTTCCTCCGCGAGAAGCAGGAAGTGCCTGGGGACGAATGCAGGCTGACCCACATAAAGGCTCCCCTGGATCTCTGAAAAAACAACAACTGAAATAAAACCAATCAAGAGCCTTTACAAGCCCAGGAAATTAAACCGAGGAATGTCCATTATTTATTTCAAACAAAACAGAAGGAAAGGATTTAAATATATGTAACATTAGACAAGAAATATGTGGCTCTTTTCTTTCTGTCGATGGAGAGTTTGTGGTTTTGGGATCCATTGAGATTAAAGATCCACATTAATAAAATAGAATGAAGGTTAAGCTACACTTAAAAAACTGCTTACGAAGGGATCCACCTTAAAAAAATATAACTAAGTAGAAAAAAAGGAGTAAAATTTGCTCAAAAATCTGTTAGATTAATCTCAGAAATATTCTAGAAAAAAACATGAAGATCTCTGAGCTCCAGAAGTCTAGATTTTGCTAACAATCTCGTAAATTTTTAGATTAATTTAAAAAAAAAATTCTAGAAAATTTTTTCAAAAGTTAAAATTAAAATTTCTAGAAAAATATTTTATATTTCTTAGTTTCAATTTTGGAATATTTCTGAGTAAAAAGTAGAAAAATTGCTAGAAAAACAAAGATCTTGAGATTCAGCTCAGAAATGTTCTAAACAAAAACTTGATTATTTCCTAATTTAAAAAATTAAAAGTTTTCAATAAAAAGAAATTACAAAAAAAAGAGATAAAGATTGAAAATTAGCTTGAAAACTCAGAAATGTTCAGATTAATCACTGAAATTTTCTATAAAAAGCTGGAGTCAAAAGACAAAAATGATCCAACTTTTGAAAGTCAGAAAAAAAAATTATTATTCAAGTTTGTTTCGTATAAAAAAAAACGTTTTTCTTTTAATTCCTTCTGGTAAAATTTCTTCTTTTTACAAATTATTATGAATTTATTCTTGTAATTAAACAAAAAGTACCTGCAGCCCAACCGTGATACTAAAACTCACCTATAAATCTGAGTCAGATCTTTTATTTTGAAGCTCTGGCTTCCTGTTGCACGTTGCTTAAATTGGAGCCGCAGCTCGGAGTGAAACTCTTCTACTAGAAGCTTTTGTTTAAGAAAAGGTCACATCGGATCCGTTCCTATTCACATTCAGCAAAGACTTCAACCTTGAAAGTAGAGCAATCAGCGGCTGGATCCCGGAAAGCTGCACTCAGATAAATTGCGTTTTGAAAGACATAAAAACTAACTTGATTTTCTGGCTAAAAGCCCCAGAGGGGCAGAGAAATAGGAATATTTGATTCGGCCGTGAAACATCAATTATGGAAGGCAAGCTGTGCTCTGACTCCCAGCGATGGGCGCTCTGGTTCTGATCCAACACTGAAGGCTGGGAGCGTGTGGCTCTCCTCGGGACCGGCAGCATCGGTGCAGCATCGCCGCGGCATCGGTGCAGCATCGGTGCAGCTTCCACAGCGCAGACGCTGAGCGGCTCTGAGGCTCAACAAACTGTTTGGACGGAAAGTTTCAGGAATATTGAAGATCAGCTGAAGTTTCTCGGTTCTACGCGGCGCCATCATAAAGGAGTCCATAAAAAAATTTAAAATAAACTTTTCAAATTTGCGAAATTTTATTTTTCTAGAATATTTCAGCGGTAAAACTAAAAATGATTTTCAACTTTTGAAACCCAGAAATTTTTTCTAGCAAAATTTTTAAGTTAATCTCAAAATTTCCGAGATTTTTTTTTGGAACAAATTTTTAGCTTTTGGGGCTCAGAAAAGTCCTTGTTTTTTAAAGATATTTTCTTTGATCAGTCTCAAAACGTTTTGTGATGAAATTTTTGACTTTTCAAACTCAAACTTTTTTAGGTTTGTTTTTTCAAGCTAAATTTTTACTTATGAAACTCAAATTCGAATTCCAATACAGTTTTTTTAAGCAAATTTTTTATTTTTGAAATTTTAATTTCTGAGATTTTCCTACTAATCTTTGACTTTTAAAACGTTTCTTTCTAAAATGAGTTTTTTTGTAGATATTTTCCAGGAATTGTGGTGAGGGGCCTGCTCCAGTTATTCAGAGGGCTACAAATGGCCCCTGCGCCGCATTTTGAACAGCCTTGTTGCTCAGCTTGTTGTTCTGGATCAGTCTCAGAGTTCTGGTCGGTTCTGACTCGCTCTCTCTCTGTTCCTACAGATAAATCCAAATTAGAAGATGGCTCCGGCGGCGGGAAGTCGTCCACCGCCATCGGCTCCGAGGTGGCCATCTTTGTGGGCATCGCCTCCGGCAGCGTCATCTTCATCATCATCATCGTCATGCTGGTCCTGCTGCTGCTCAAGTACCGCCGGCGGCACCGCAAGCACTCGCCGCAGCACACGGCCACGCTGTCGCTCAGCACGCTGGCCACGCCCAAACGCGGCGGCGGCGGCAACAACAACGGCTCGGAGCCCAGCGACATCATCATCCCGCTCAGGACTGCTGACAGCGTCTTCTGCCCGCACTACGAGAAGGTGAGCGGGGACTACGGACACCCCGTCTACATCGTTCAGGAGATGCCGCCGCAGAGCCCCGCCAACATCTACTACAAGGTCTGAGGGCCGGGAAAACAAAAACGCAGAACCTGGACAAGCCCCCGGTCGGAGCGAAACGAACCGCCCCGCTCTTCCTCTCTGTCGACTCCTCCTCCTCCTCTCCTCTGATGTTTCGTCACTAGTCGTTTCCTCTCTGAGTTTTCGCCCTTCGCTCCGGGTCGGTCACAGACGATGGGGACGAGTAGCGAAGCCGCCGTCGCTCGCCGGGAAGCGGAACGGACAGCCTCTTCTTCGTTTTCGTCCACCGGGATAAAGTGAGTGGGATGGATGGATTTATGGATGTGAAAGTCTCTGAAAGTGTGAGAAAAAGACAGACTGCTGTTTTGGAAACAGAGACTTTAACAATGGGAGAAAAAGCAGGAAGTGGGCGGAGCTTGAACTCAGCTGAGCGGATTTACCAGCGGGATGCAGAGAGATTCCCACGCTGGACCTTTTGTGGGACTTTCACCCACTCACCTGTCCACCCACATGACTACCATCACACAAACACTCACCTGTGCACAGACACAGACTCACGGGTCAATGTGACGTGTTGTCGATCACAGCATCTCTCCTCATCCTCAGCTCGACCTTATTTCGCGTTTTACTTGAAGGTTTAGAGAAAAAAAAACATGATTGAGTCTCTTTGTTTAGTTCCACATTTACTGGTTTTGTTCATATTTGTTTTTTATACTTTTACGTCGGCGTATCGAGGCCACTTTGGGGAGAAAAACAGGAGTAAATTTCTGTAAAAAAAAAAATCAAAGACGTTTTCCAGGAAAAAAACGTAAAAATATCAGAGTTTCAAAATTCAAAATAATGCGATAAAAAGACAATTTGAGATTAACTTCTGAGATTTTCTAGAAAAGACTTGGAATATTTTGAGCTCTGCCGTAAATTTGTGAGAAAGTGAATAAAATTTTGTAGATTAATCAAGGAAATTCTCTGCAAATTTACAAAACAGAAAAATCAGAGATTCTGAGATTAACCTCAGAAATTGTACAGAAAAAACAGAATTTTCTGAATTCAATGTTGAAAGTTTAAATATTTCGCTAAATTTTTCTTTTCTGATTTTAATGTCAGAAAATTTCTAGAAAAAATTTGGACATTTCTGAGATAAAAAAAATTAAAATTTTTGACTCTTGAAGCTCAAAAAAGTTACGAAACTCAAAAATGTTTGAGTTCATGAGCTCACGAAACTGCTAAATCTTTCTAGAACATTTCTTTAATTAATCTCAGAATGTCAGAAACGTGTTGAAATGTGGATATGTTTGTCCTCAAAAAATCTAAACTTTCAACACTTTAAAAATTTGGACCAAAAAGTCAAACATTGTCAACTTTACAAGCTCACAAAATCTTCAAGTTTTTTTTAAAGATTTCTCTCAAAATTTCTGAGCTTTTTTCACACGAATCTTAAACTTTTGGAGCTAAGAAGTGTCCAAGTTCTATGTAAAACTAAAAATCTCTGAGTTTTTATTCTTGCATATGTCCAACTTGTGGAGCTCAAAATTCTCCAAGTTATTTCTTGAAAATTTCTTATGAATCTGAAAATTTCAGTTTTTCTTCTCACAAATTTTCAACATTTTTAGCTCAGAAAATTATTGACATTAATCTGTCAATTTCTGAGTTTTTTTTGCAGAAACTTCCTCCTCCTTCATTTTATTGTCCGTCCACAGCGGCCCGGCTGCGACGCCGTAATCCTCTGAGTAGCTGGAGTGCAGGTAGCGTTTCGTTTCCCGGTGTGTCATTGAAGCTCTCGCGTGGCAGCAGCTCAGTTGAAAACAGGAGGAGGTGGAGGACTTTTCTCTTGCATAGCGCAGCACTTTTGACCCCTCCTTTGTTTTACGTTCGTCCCTCCACTCTCCTCCGCCGGAGAGAGACGCGGCGACGTCCGGAGATGGGAGAGCGGCCGTGACCCGTCAGGGGCAATAAGAAATCCAGTTCGCCTTACTGCTGTAAGACCTGGTGGAGGTCAGAGCGAAGCAGTTGTAGGTACTGTAATGGATCCCGCAGGGGTCCGGTGATGACTAAGGGTACCCTAAGGGCCCAAAACTCAGCCTGGCCGGTGCTCTCCTATTCTTTTCTGTAAAGCACAGGAACATCAGCTTAAACTTTCACTGTTTTCAGTCTCCATTAGCATTTCCTTCCTGTGAGTTTTCAGTTTTCCTTTCCTTTACATCCAATAGATGTACATTAAAAAGATAAAAAGGACATTTAAAGATGGAAAAAAATACAAAAATAAGATAAAATTTATTTATGGTAGACACAGAGCACAGGTGTTGTCAGGCGGAGTGGAGAGGAAGAAACTAATTTTAATATATAAGTGGTATAAGTGCACATTATGCAATCTAGGTTTTGATTATTTGATATCTGGACGGTTCGGGTCCCGGCTCCGTCTGCGAGTTATCCCGACCCAAAATAAGGTGCAGAGTAGCCGTTTGTCCCAAAGGAAAGTTCCCAGTGTGCCCGAATCTCCTCACACACGCCCTCCATGTTCCCCATGCATGCGTGTGTGTTTGCGTGTGTGTTTGTGTGTGTGTGTGTGTGTGTGTGTGTGTCAGTGACTTCGTGCAGCATCTCAGCAGTAACTTAGGCCTCTCCCTGAGCATCTATCAGCCCATTGTTCGCATCTCCATCGACTCATGAGCATCAGATTTCACCGAAAAAGCCAAGCCTTGTATTATCTGAGGTTTGTGCCTCTGAGAGGCTACAAAATCTGCAAATATGCAATTCTTATTTATTTTTTTAATCAATTCTAAAAGAAAAAAAGTGTTCTTAACCACTGAAAGATGTAACAACAAACCAACATAACAAAATGAGTCTGTCTGGGTTTTTTTGTTGTTGTTTTTGGACATTTTCTTCTGTTTTTACTGCAAAAACAACAAAACTTACCGGGTATTTTGGTCAAGTTTTTCATGCAAAATCTGAGTACAACTGAAAAAAGACAAAACTAACTTAGAATGAACTTTCTAGCAAGATGCAGGAGCTTGTTTTAAATCAATTATTCCTTAATATTGACGAAAACACCGGCAGATTATTTCATTTGGGAAAAATTTGTTACTATAAATTAAATAATTGTGACTTAAAACTAGGGCTGTAGGTTACAATTTAGTTGGCAATTAATCGATTATTCTGGTGCTTAATTGATTAATCGAATTGGTATATTCTGCATATTTTCGTTTAAGCCTGTTTTTTTTTTTACATGATATTAGAAGCTCATTAAAAGAATTAAATAAGCAAATAATTCAGTTACTTTTTCAATTAAGAAAATAGAAATAATGTTGGCTAAAATGCGGATGCAACATTTTTTAGTGTTGATTGTAGCAAAAAATGCATCTGCAGCTAAAAAAAGTATTGCATATTAATCTCTTGATTATTTTCTATACTAATAATTTAATAGTAAATAAATGCTTAGTTAATAGGAGACTTTTTAAATATAATTTAAACCAGATGAGGCTAAAAATGCTATTTGATTTCTATGTAGAATGTATTTAAAGAAAGTTTTTCATCTTAAATGTTAAATGTATAGATTTTTGTACAGTTTAGACTAAATAACTGCAATGACTGTTTTATCTTTATCCAAAAGGCCTTTTTTTTATCTCTATGCTCCAGTTAATGATTAATCAATTATTTTAACAATCGATTAATCACACTTGATTCGATTAATCGATTGAAACAAGCTCCTGTTTCTTGCAGGAAAGCTATTTGTAAGTTATTTTTGTCTTATTTCAAACGTACTCTGCGGTTTCCAGTAGAAACTAGACGAAAGTAATCGTAACCGTTTGTGTTTTTGCAGCGTTGACTACGTGCCGTAGTGCAAACTGTGAAAAACGAAACCATGACAAAGCATCAGTAACAGAACCTGGACAGGTATTTAGAGGTGGAGGAAAAGCGAAAAACAAACAAAAGAAGAGAGACAAACACAAACAGAAGAATGGCTTTTTAGTTGCTTTCTGTCTGCGGCAGAATCTGACAATCTCCTTAGTTTCTTTGAATCTGGCGTCCTTTTCTCAGCCGCCGCTCGGCTGCAGCTCTGTGGCGTCTGAAGCGTTGTAGCGGCGCCGCGGCGGCCTGCAGGCGGCGGCCTGGGGGAAGCACCTCAGGCGACTGTAAAATGCCTTGCTCGTATGGTCAGCCCTTGGTCACTTGACTCAGTAAATTTGCACCGTACTTCTGTAGGTAAGAACCTGTAAATACATTAATGTTTGTATTGTATATGGATCCTGGGTTGTTACAATAGCCTTATTCACCTTTGTAGGAAAGTAAATGAAAAAAAGAAAAAGTGGATTACACTTCAGTAAAACAGAGCATACTACTTTTTTGGTAAATAGCTTATGTAAATATTGACCAGAACCCAATAAAAAACATTTTTTATAAACTCTTAAAGTAAGATGTTTTGTATAAAATTTGAATTTTTTGCTATGTATTTTAGCTAGCGCTCTATGGAAAGCCCGTGTCCTCCCCACTTCCTCCCGTTTTGCACTGTTTCCATTGTAATTTGGTTTAAAAAAAAGACAAAAAAAGAGAAAAGTTGCCAAACCGACTGCTGCATATTTGTGCCATAAGTGTGTACCATAAATATTTATTAAATTAGTTTGTTTTTTCTCTCTCTCTCTCTCTCTTATGTTCCGTCGATGGTTTTATTTCAGTCCAGTTTGTAAGTAACAGTATTATATTTGCATCGTTTATCGTCTGCCCCGTTTTTTTTCGTCATGTCTCGGTTGCAGCTCCCTCGTCCCTCGCAGTGTCAGATGGCCCAGATTGTGACGAAGATTAAAAAAAGGGAAAAAAAAAAAAAAAAGACATTTTGAAATTCAGAATTTTAAATTAATTTCGAAGAGGATAAATGACACACATTCCACCAGTCTGTTACAAACTGAAAATGTTTTTCAATAAAATGTTTTTCCTATGGACACGCTGTCTGGGAGTGCTTTGTGAATTTGAACAATAACGTCTTAATACTGTCTTTTTATTACCACTTATTACAGATTATTACTGCCTTATTACTCTCCTTTTATGGTTCAGCTTCTAATAACATGTATAACGCCAATATACATAATATGCTAATTGCTGATATGTTATTATAACTAATGAGAATTAACTGTAAAATTAGCCTGAAAACTTAAAGTGAAAGCAGCCCTGCAGCAGCAGTAACGATGCTAACATATATATATATATATATATATATATATATATATATATATATATATAACTGATATATTTATAGGTTTTATATATAGTCATTATAAAACCTATTTAATGACTCAGGTTTTAAAGGCTCTTAGGGGCAACGTGCAAAAGAACATTAATAAAAGATGTTTTGAACCAGATTTAGCTTAAGCGAAGTCCAGCTGAGTTAATAAAATAGTTTAATCTGAAACATCGTTCTGTACCGAATGCTAGCTGCTACGAGACGTGACGGTTACCCCTGACAACCAGGTTTTGTTTTAAAATCTGAGCAGCAGTTGGATTTCATAAAGTTAGCTTGTGTCACAAGTTCAAATGTATAATTCATGTTAGCATCGTAACTCTTTACAATCTGCAGTTTCATTCGCCATATTGGATTGTTTTTTACTATTCTGATGTCGAGACGTGTTAAAAAAATGATTGTTTGTGTAAATTGAATGTACAGAAGATCATAATGAAGGTATTTATATGTACATAATTAAGTAGGTAATTATTCCTGAATTGACCCAAAACTCTGGAAAATTTGCTCTTGGTGTCTATTGGTATGAGCGTTCAGTGACTGACTTACACTTTTTCTTTTATTCTGCTCCAACGTTCTTATCTGGGATCCTTTCATTTCCATTTTCTAATGAAGCTAACCCTGGGGTGTCCAAAGTGTGGCTCGAGGGCCATTTGCAGTCACTGGGATGTTTTTGTACGGACCCTGAACGATACAAGTTTGTCTCACCAGTGCAAGTGTTTGATGCAGATGGAAACCTTTTTATTCAATTAGGACAGAACTATTATATCTGTTTAAAATAAAAATTAAGTGTTTATTGCTGAGAAAAGACTAAATATTTTTGGGTTTTCTTCAGTTGAGCCCAAAATAAATTAGTAATGTTTTGTTGAGGTTTTGTATCTTAAATCATTCATATATTCCTTTCTTACAGAAAACAAAAAGTCTGGACACCCCTGAACTAAAAGCTAATAAGATCTTAAGGAGTTGGCGTTATCTGCAGATGTAGATAAATCCTTACAGTTTTATTTATTTGCATTTCGCTCCTACAAGACAAAAACAACCTTTAGGTCTGTTTGGATCTGGTATGAAAGTAAAGCAGGGTTCATAACAGTGTTTCTGTGTATTGTAGCACCATAAGCAGCTAATGCAGAGTCAAGTTTGATCTGCTGTCTCTATGTTAGCTCACTCCCTGATGTAATATGGACACACTGATTACAGGATCATGTTCTCCATCGGTGCTTAGGGCCAAATTATCCTTAAGCCAGTGAGTCACTCTTGTTTTTTTGGCCGCTGCGTCCAGGCAGCTAGCCTGCGCAGCCAGCTCTGATGCCAATGAGTCAGGACAACGTCCTGCCAAAACACGGTCAGGCAGAGACACCAACCCAGCAGGCTGCCATCTCTCTTCCACCTCTGCAGACCTGCAAATCAGTTCATCACCAAAGCTCTCTGCTCAGCCAGAGAGTCGGTAAGATAATAGCTGTGACGGCCAAACGACCAGCTAGCCAGCCAGCTAAGCTTCTGGGCCTAGCCTGCTAGATTAGCATGCTCTGATTCTTGGCTTCATGTGAGATTCAACTCAGGCTACATTTGTTCACGGTCCAATTGAACATCTGTGGGATGTTCTGGACAAAGAACAAGCAGGATAATAACAGGTTTTTTTTGTACTTTAGTTTTATTTCACACCAACTTTTGTTTGTCTGATAAAGTTTTCATTGGTTTTACAGTGGGTTTGCTAGTTTTACTACTTATTATAAGTTAGCCTTAAGCTAAAATAAGCATATTAGCTACATTATGTTAATGTACATATTAGCTACAAATCAGGCAATGTGTAGCTAATATATCAGCATAAGTCAATGCTGATATATTGACTTATGCTTACTAAACAGAGGAAGTACTCATTTTAGAGATACCCTGCATGCTAGTGGCAACATTTAGGCTAACCATATTATTTTAGCTATCTTGAGTTCATACACACATTTTTCTATACTGAGTTGACTAATATACTGGTCGCCATTTTTGTAGATACAAATCTATTTCCAACTGATGTGAAACAGAGTTTTTTTTCCCACACTAGCAGTTGACGCCATTATCCTTCTGGCGGCGGTTATGCTAGTCCTCAAAATGGCGGCTAGCGTTTAGCAAAAGGTAAAACTAGAGTGGCATCAGATTTAGCGGTTTTAGGATTTTTTCTTTTCATTTCTCAAACGTAGTGGTAGATTTTCATGTTTGTTTTGGTTGTATTTACCCATGATGCCCTGCGTGCGCTATAGCTAACTTCCTGATTTGGGAGTGTTAGAAATGACGTATAGTTCATGTCTTGTGTTTAGTGTTTAAATCAAATCAGACGTTTTTGTGACTTAAATTTGACTTGGGTTCCCATTTCTTTTTTTTGTTTTGTTTTTCATCATTATCTAACACGCCAGCTGCACCAAATGTTTAAGATATTAAAGCCACAGGCGATATATCCATCATTTCTAACCATGTTGTCTTCAAAGCCCTTCGTTATGAGACGGCAGCCGGAAAATGAAAACGTCTTCATGATGCCGCAGTTCGGCTGTTATCAGGAGAAACGCCTGCGAGGCCGGCTGGAAACAAAACAGGCCGGGCCTCGAGTCGTTCGTCTTCCCTCGGTGGTCCGTCGTCTCCCGGATCTTTGATGAGGAGGAGGAAGATGTTTCCCCGTTTCATGTTTCTGTTTTAGCTCCCTGGTTTTTGCGAGGGTCAACGCAGCGTTGCCAGGTTTTAATGGGTTTTCCATGTCAACAAGACAAGTTTTCAGGCTCCTGATCTATCTGTGTATCTGTAGTTCAACATTGTTCAGAACCGTTTGGGCCCGGTTTGAACCCTCTGAGTGTTTTCATTGAGAAGGAAATTAAATTTGATTCAGCCAGTTTGTTTTATAACTGTTCTTGTTTTATAACCGCCATTAATAATTTAGTTTTTGGTTAATTGTTCGAAGTTTATTTAAATTACATATTAATTAAGATTTACATGCATGAGATTATGCCGAAATGGCTTTCGGCTCTGAGCGATGGAGTCCTAATTGCACTTTCTGAAGCTTTTGAAAGAAGGTTTGTCAGCCTATTTGGTTTTGTCAGTTCAGTTTCTTTCATCATTTATTTTATTTTGCTGAACAAATTAAAGTTGTGTTATTTTTAAAAGCTTCACTAAACTTGAGAATATATTTAAGTGTGTTGTACTGGTGCAGATAATCAAATATATTTATAGTTAAGCACATTGAGATATTTGTTTAAAGTCATTTCAGCCTTGGCTTTTTGTATCGTATCGGTATCGGACGATACTAAACATCAGTTATTGGTATCAGAGATTAAAACATTCCTATTTGAATTGTCAGATTGGTCTTTGTGATACTGAAGAGTAACAAGAAGAAAAAGCAGCATCATAAAGGAGATTTTAAACAGTTGTTTTCAATTTGTAGTCTATGACGGTTTCAGTACATAATGGTTGGACTCGAATCGGATGTTGAAAAGTAGTAGCAATGCCAAAGCTAGCTAAAATGTAGTCAATAGCATGTTGACTCCATTCAGTGCACAAACATTAGTGTAAAAGCTAAAATAAGTAGCATGTAGGTAGCATGTGGACTTACATTGAAAAGGAGCTAAAATACCTATTTTAGCTATAAGGCTAACATTAGCATGATGGCTACATGCTACCTTTACCAGTTTTTGCCCCCATTAAGGGCAAAAACTGTCTGTTTTGGATGCCTGAATCTTCTAACATGTTTTCATACATTCTGCATTCAAACGGCTTTTCATCAGAGCAAAACTTTTCTGCGCGATCTGAAACCGTTTTGACGTTGCAGCTTTTCGTTTATGAGCAAAGGCTGCACCAAACTGCACAGAAACGTCTCAGTCCTGGTTTCAACACGGGAGTTTTGATTTCCTCTCACGCCACCGAAACACCAGGAACGTAAACAAGATGAGCCATCAGGTTATTTTTTACTCGGGGAGATAATCCCACCCAGATTCCTGCAGAGTGACTCAGAGCAGTCAGTTCCTGAATGCAAAGTTACATTTACATTCAGGAACTCACTCAGCCTGGGTTCATGTTTTACTTACCTTTAATATTTTCATCTATTTCTGTCGAAATAATCCCAGTTAATCTCTTAATAAACACACCCTGATGATGCAGATTCATCCAGGTAAATGTTTTGAAGCATTTAAAGACAGAGTTGGGTAGCAACTACTTACTTTTATTTACTCAGTTACATTTACTGGAGTAACTTTATTTATAATGAAGTACAGTCAAATTTCTAGATTCTCTTTCCACTAAATGAAGAACAAAAACAACAACAAAAAGAAATTTAACTTAAGATTCTCTGGTGAATTTTTGGATACATTTCAAACTCAGAAATATTCTTGTTTTTTCGAGAACATTTAAAAATTTAACATTATTTCTAGAATTTTTTGTAATTTTCAAGCTTTGAAATTTTTGTTGTTATTTCTAGAAAATTTCAGTGATTAACCTGAAAAAATTTTTAAACTTTTTTTTAGACCATTCTTGTCATTTCAAATCCAGAAATGTCCTTGTCCTTCTAGAAAGTTTGAAATTATTTCAAAATTTCTATTATTTTTTCAGTAAATTTTAGACTTTTGAAAGTTAGAAATGTACAAGTGATCAACCTCAATTTGTCAGATTTTTCTAAATAAATTTCTTAACTATTCAGACCCAGAAATGTCCTTAATTTTTTAGAAAATTTTACTGGTTAATCTCAATTTTTTAAAAACTTTTTCTAGAAAATTTTTGACAGTTCAAACTTTAAAATTTCCTTGTTTTGTTCTTGAAAATTACAACTATTAACCTCAAAATTTCAGATTACTTTCTAGAAAGTTTGACTGTTCAAACTTAGAAAATTCTCAGGGTTTTTGCTATAAAATCTAAAATATCATCTAAAAATGTCTCATTTTGTGGATATTTACACTTCCTTTTTTCTGTCTAATCTGGCTGTTGAAGAGTTTTCAGGTTTCCAAGAATATTTGACGTTTAAATGAAACTCATTCCTCATCAACTCCATCCAAACTACATCTGATATGGATAATGATTTTCAGATTAGAAATATGAGCCGAAAACCCGACAGTTTAGACTTGATGCCAAGCAGGAGGATCACGTCAATGTGAAGTTATGAAACAGTTTCAGCTCCACTCTGTTGATGGTGGAAACGTTCCGACACGTGAACCTTTGGGTGTCGACATCCTGCAGAGGAATGTGAACGCAGCCAACACCTTCAGCGGCCCAATCAGAACAAACTGATTGGGCCAATCAGAACAAATCAGAACAATCAGAGCAAACTCCTCACCTGCTCCACGCCTTCCTTTGATGAAGAGAGGAGGAACAAGAGTATCAGGCTTAAAGGTGTTTAATCTGACCGGCTGTACTGCGTTTCCGCTGAAGTTTGATTATTAGTCAGCAAAGCCGTTTATTTTTCTGTGCGTCACTCGTTACCGTATCTAAAAGTTCGTCCAGAGACTCCACACCCACACAGGTTTCAGTGATAACTGCTTATAATTGATCCTTATGGATCAATATTTAAGAGGGTTGGGATTCTTCCTACAAGTAAATACATTTAAATTCAAACGGAAACTTTACATCTACAAAATGAGCCACATTTTCACTTAAAAAAGATTTTTGAAGTAGTCTGTGCTGCTGCTACCTGTTAGCATTGGTATGCTAAACATGCTAACTGCTTTTAGCACAACTTGAACGCATCATTAATCTTTCCCGGCGCCCAATCGGATCGTGTTTTGAAGCTAAAATTTAACCCCTGGTGGGATGAGAGGAGCAGCTTCGTCATCCATCGCTGTCATTTCTCACTTCCTAAAGTTGAAAATTTGCATTAAAAGAAAAAATATATAAATAAACGGTTTAACTCAGAAAAAAGCAAAAAAAGCTAAAATAGTAAAAAATTTGAAAAAAATCTCAGAAATGTTTTAACTCAATCTCTAAGTTTTCTAGGAAATTAAGAAACAAACAGAAACAGAACATTTTAAATTAATCTCAGAAATTGTCTAGAAAAAAGATATGTATGCAAGTTCCAAAAGTAAAAACTTTGCAAGATAAAAAATGTCAGAACTTTATAAACTAACTAATTTTCTGGCTTGCAAAGTTGAACACTTGTAAACTTCTGGAAATTAAGTTTCCATAAAGTTTAAGAAAATGTGGAAATTTTTGTCTCAACTTTTCATCCGATTTTCTAGAAAATACTAGATCAATTTCAGAATTTTTTCTTTTATCCCAATCTTCCATAAATTGTCAGAAACAAACAAGAAAAGCCAAATCCAAATAAAGTGCGACTCCATTCTCCATTATTTATTAATTAAGCTGATTGATAAATGAATCAGAGCTGCAGTTATTCCCCCCACCATCAGAGGTGAAACTAAAACTTTGGAGCCATTTCTCCACAAAACGAAAACTACCGTGAATACTTTCCATGTTTTCTATCTTAATGTTTTCTGTTGGAAAATTAACATAAATCTGATTGCCTCAGTGTCTCCGTGGCAGAGTGACGGGGGTTTAGCATACATAAATATAAATGGCTGAATTAGCTGCTGGCTGAAAGGGGAAATCATCGGTGGCGGGTTCGGCCCATTGTGGCGGAGAAACAAACAGGAAGTCCAGAAACAAAAGCCTGTTGTTTTCTCCCACCTTCGTTCTGGATAATCTCCGCTGATCCGTGTGATGAGGCGATGATGAGGCGACGATGAGGCGGCGAGGAAGGCGACAGACGCTCGGAGGATCAGTGGAAAAATGTCTAGTAAACATGAAACAGGCAGGAAAAGAAAGGAGGAAATTACAGCAAAAATCCTGGAAGTTTTCAGATTAATTTCAAACATCTGGAAAATAAAAATCTTTCTAGAAATTTCTGAGTTTCAAAATGTGAACATTTTTGAAATTTTATGAGTTTTTCCGAGAATATTTCTGAATTTTCTTCATTTGCATTCAAACTCAGTGATTTCCAAGTATTTTCTCACATTAATCTCATAATTTCAGTTTTTTCCTGCAATTTTTTAAAACTTTTTTAACTCCAGGTTTATTTTCAGACAAATTAAAAAAATTCTGAGCATTTTCTCAAGCCTTTTTTAGATTTTAACTGAGATTTTTTCTGCGAATCATAAAATGTTTGATTTTTTTTTCTCACAAATTTTTGAGATTTTGAACTCAGAAATGTTCTTAATTTTAAAATTGCAGAATTTTTTGGTAACAATTTATCTTTTCTTTTTTTCTATCTACCCAGTTGCAGGAAACTACGGAGCCCTGAAAGGGACATGGGGAAATTTGTTTCTCTTACGTTCCCTCGCTATACTGAACTGATCAGTTATGCTTATATACTCTAAGCCTTTCTTACAGTAGCCGCCATATTTTCTGTTTTATTACAAGGTTATGTGAGGTTTTTCCATGAATGTTAATATGTCTTTGTGAAATATCTGAAGTTATATATCTATATTTTTTAGGATATTTTTATTTCTTTCATACTTACGGAAAGTTTCTGTTTACATCATAGGTTTGTGGTGCCTTTCTGTACTAAAGAAAAAGATATAAAATGTCAGATATTTCACAAGGAGATATTAACATACATGGAAACAGGCAGAAAGTACAACCCTAACCCTAATACCGTAAGAAGGGCTTACAGTATTTAATTATGCCGCATTACTGATCAGTACAGTATTGCAATGGGATGCCAAAGAAAAAGATAATTCCTGTGTCCCCTGGAGGCTCCGTAGGAAACAGACTGGATAAAGTTTGAAGGAAAAATAAAAACATAAAAACTGATTTAATGTAATCCACATTTTTCTGTGTACTGTTCAGAGGAGTCAGTCTAATAATTCAGGATACAAAGAACTCCCTTGTCTGTTCAGCATTAAAGACCCAGTAATTCAGCCTGAAAGCGACTCTAAAACATTAATCCTGGCAGTAAACAGCATCCAGAGTTCATCCACGTTCAAACTAAGAGATAAAATGTTAAACGGCTCCCCTGAGCGTCACTTGGAGTCAAACAGACCTGATCTTGTACCAAAGATGATGGAGTTTGTTTTGACTTTGTCAAGTACCACACCCTGAAGTCAGGAAATCTGTGACAGCTTTTAAATTGGCCCATTAAAGGGACAGCACAGGTCCAGTGAGTCAGAGAAAACAGATGATGGATGGGTGAAAGTCTCTGAACTCGGCATCAAAACGCCGTCAAACATTTCACAATCCCGAAGATATGCGAGGAAACAGGGATGACAAAATACGCCGGACTAATTTCATAAAGTAAAGTAATCAAGACGAGAGGTTAAAAGCATGTTTCCACTTTCTCAAGGGCGCTTTCAGATTAACGAGGCTTTATTTTAACAACTGGACAAAAAGCAGGAATCGACCACTTTGTTTACATGACTGTCAGGTTTTGGAGCAGGATCCATTTTCACATCTAAATCTGTGATAATGGCTTTCTCATCTGAGGCCAGAGAGGAAAGATCAATACAGGAGGTTCTGATGGTGATGTCAGGTCCAAACAAAAGGCTTGATGATAGAAATTCTGCAATTTTAGATCCATTCATCTCCTGGTGTAGTCAAAGTAAGGCCAAACAGAAGCTGGACACTTTCACCAAGAGGCTGCAGTGAATGGAAATAAGCCCAACAATCATCAGCATACAGAGTGATACTGCTATTTGAATCTGTCTGTAGGTGAACAAATCCCAAATTTTTACTAAAATTAATTTATTTTTAGGCAGAAATATGGCTTCCAAAAGTTGAATAGCTTTATTGTCAACACCTATGAAAAATTTAAACCTCAATTAGACTAATTAACGTCTAAAAATGTTTGCAGAGATCTGAGAATGGAGCCCTGTGGTTCCTCCTCATGAGAAATTAAATTTCTTCGTGGAGCATATCTGCCATTTTTAACTGAAATATCTATCCATAATGCTACTTGACTCCCTATTGGCTGGCATATGGGAAGCAGCCAATCCAGGCGCTTGATTCATTTTCCTTGGCTGAAGTAAAAAAAAAGTGGAGGTAAGGTAAATGTTATCTTCTGTCTTAGATTGTATATTAGAGTATATTAAGGAATTTATAATTGTTTTCAGATGTAGTATTTTAGCTATTCGCTAATCTGGTTTTGTACTAGCGATCCACTGTAAAGGTTTACCAGTAACTCCAGTTTACCACCAATGACGGCGCCCGATCTTTTTTAATTACTTGTTCACATGAGATTTTCATTGTGCTTCTTATTTAATGAAATATCAACAAACCTTTGAGCACATTTGTAATTGAAATGTGGCAAAAGAAACAAAAAATCATAGTAACATTGTTTAAAATTTAAAGCTCAACTAGATCTATATAAATTAAAAGTACTTAGTTTTTATATAAGTTTTGTATATGCGAGCATCATGTTTGATTTGTTTTGTTTTAATAAAAATATTGTGTGAATTGAAAGATGAGTTAGTAAAAATGATGACTTGAATGAATTCCCCGTTTCCTGCTGCGCTGGACGTTTCCTCTGTTTCTTCTTCTCCTTTGTTGCTTTTCATGTTTCTCTCCCATTGCTGTTTTTCTAAAGATTATTTTTCCCCCACCAGGTCTGCATGCACATTAGCCATATTTAGAGCTGCTTTTTGCAGTTTCATCAAAGCAGAGTGGCTTCAAATGGCTGAAACCACAAGTTTGTTCGCAGTGACAGAATAACCGAAGAACAAAAGTTGCTATTGGGTTTCCCGCTGTGACCTGTTGGAAAGTTTATTTGACTTTTCCAGAAGTTCCCACGTCTAACTCGGCACAAACACGGTAAAAAGAGACGCTTTGTCTTATCGTCTATGTTCTCCGACTTCCCGGGAGAGTTTGTGAAAACTGTTGATTTTCTGTGTCTTGATTTACGCCTCTCATCGTTCAGAGATTCCACCAGCAACGGGAAACCTGGAGAGAGAGCGCAGCCAAAGCGGAGGAGAGGCGGCGAAGAAGACAAAGCCAAGTCTGTGCAGCGAGCGGCGATAGCATCGCTGCCGAAGTCAAAGAGCCCGTCTGTCTCCGTCGACTCTCAGAAGCTCAGCCAGCAGAGAGACGCGATGCACACACAGCGAAGAACACTCACAAAGAAAGACAAAACAGAGAAACGACACACGGGGCGTCCACACCGACCACCTCATTACTTATCAGTTCATTTGGAAACTTTTTGGCTCCACTGTTGATGAATCATTTTTTCTGATTTGTTTTATGAGCTGGAAATTAACCCTGAAAGCATCACCAGAATAAAGATGTTTATTTTGACTTGATGCTGTTTGTGGGTAAGCTAAGGCTGCATTCACAGCAGCCATGTTTAATCCAGTTCACGCTGTAAAAAAAGTGGAAGTGGGAATGTGACCAAACTCTGACACGACCAAACAAACCTTGGTCTTGAAGTGAACTCTGGTGCAGTTCGAATGCATATGTGAACGCTAAGCAGACTGGAGACCGCCCCAAAAGCAGGAAGTGATTTTCCTGAACGCAAGGCATTATGGGTACTTACAACCAAAACAAGCATGCTAGCTTAATGCCAGATAAATCTTATAATCGCAAGAATCTGACGCTGCCTTAATTTTGTTTACATTTTGTGAAGAAGAAAGTTGCAATTAGTTTCTTCTTTAGAGGTTTGTGTGCTGTTTCCTTCAGTGGTTTGTGGTGCAGCGCCCCTGCTGGCGAGGAGAGGAACAGCTTCCTTAATAAGACAGGTTTGTTTGACTCAGTGCATGTGAAAGAGAACCACAGCAGATAAGGTTTTCTTAAACAGTTTTTGAAATTGTGCCCACAGTGGGTCACATGGGCAGTTGCCCAGGGCAGCAACAGAAAGGGAGCGACACCAAGAACTAGAAGATAAAATCTTCCTTCTCTGTCAGTCGTCCACTTAACAACTTGCTACAACATGTAAGTATGTAAGTTTTCCTGTAAGCTTCTGTATGTTTTTTTTCATGAATTTTTGTTTTTTCACTCTTAAGGTTAGATTAAACTTATTTTAACATTTAAACAGATTTTCCACTTTCTTTAAACACTAAACTTTTGCATATTTTAGATTTGGTATAAAAAATGAATGTATCTTAGTTTTCAATAATTTACTTTTTTGTGATTTTTTTTTCTTACAAATTTTTATGCTTTTATGATTTTAATTGCTTTAATAAAATTGTAAAATATTTTCCATTTTCTTTAAACTCTTTAAGCTTCTGCATATTTTGCATTCAGTATAACAATCTAATTTATTTAAATCTAAAGCCATCTCTTCCTCCTCATCACTTCCATATTTCCGAGTTCTTCTGTAAAGCTATTGTGCTTTCAGCACAAATCGAATAATTTTAGTGACAAATTAACTGTCACAGCTAACTGCATTGTTTTGTGAGTCACTTAATTACAAACCAGTGGAGATCCATTAAAACATCTCATCCTTATTGCAGCGCAGACAAAGAAATCTGTTCTTATTTGCTCCAACAATGTGAATCTGTTCACACTGCGCTCATAAACTGGACCGTTGGCTTCAGTCCTTTGTGTCAGACGGCGACCATTTCCAATCTGGAGTCGCATTTAAATAAAATAAAATACAAATATTTCAGCTCTGGATGGGGACTTTCATCCAGCATTATGGGACAGATTTAATTATTTGTTCCTACTTCACCCAAACCAAGCTGGAGCCTGACAGATTAAAGCAATGGTGTGTAAAATACCCAGAAATTGGATTCAAGTAAGAGTAGAAATACCAAAAAGTAACAAAATCAGGCAAAACAAAATGTTTCCAAATCAGTTTATTTCAAT